GGGGGCTCCCCGCGGGGCCACCGGACCGAGGGATCGGGATCTTGGCTTCCAATTCTCGGGGAGCGGCTGGTTGAAACTTTCCTTTGTTCAGAGCAGAGGGAGGCTTTAGTCTCTTCCTTTCCCTTCCCCCCCCCCCCTTGGAAGACATGCTTTTGCTACAGAAACTTGTCGGCAAGGTCGCCCGGCAAAAAACAGTGTGGGTTTCGCGTTTCCCCCTTGAGACACGTTTCAAAGGGGTCCCAGCAAAATCAGGACAGGCTGGGCTATATTTTCAGCCCTTTCCCGAAGCTCTGCGTGCTTGCGAACTATTTTTAATTAATTTTTGAAAGCCTGGGTGCAAGCAAATGTCGCACGCTGCTTCTCTAGGAAGAGAGAGAAGAGGAATGGGGGGTCTTGGAGTTTGACTTCGGGGAGGTCTTTTTGTAAGGCACTCCTGTCCCGTCCCAATGGGGATCGGTAAAGGATCCCCTGGGGGGTGTTTTCAGCCAATTTGGGGGGCGCTGCTGATTTTTTAAATATTTTTAAATATTTTTTGAAAAGATGACGTCTGGGGAAAAAGCTTGCAGCTGCCTCTCGACGCCACCTTTGTGTCTCGAGCAAAGGGGGGGGGGATCAGCCGCACTCAAGCCAAATGGAACCAATAGGGGGCACCAAGGCATATGCCCCCCAACATTTTGAAGCCCTGATTGCTTCCTTGGGGTTGCCTGTTGGTAAATCGTGGGGTCTCGACACCTATTTTCTTCATTTCACCCAAATGTCCAACCACGTTTCCGAAAGGCACATTTTCTTCTCTTGCGACTTTCTCTTTCACTTCTTCTACATACCACTGTTTTCGTACTTTTTTAAAAAAATTAACTAAATAAAGGATGCTCAATTAATTTGTGGGTTATTTTTTTCTTTTGCTCTCTGCCCCCTAAAAATATATTCGTTATCAGAAAGGAAAGAAACCAACTTGATTCAGGGAGTAAAAGCTTTCTAGCATGTCTCTCTTTTTTTCCCCCCCCTTTTTCCCCTTCCTTGCAGGTTTGTGAGGAACAGAAATGTGAAGAGGAGGTTTTCCCCTTGGCGATGAATTATTTGGACCGATATCTCTCTTTTGAACCCATCAAGAAAAGCCGCTTGCAACTACTTGGAGCTACCTGTATGTTTGTGGCTTCAAAAATGAAGGAAACTATTCCTCTAACAGCAGAAAAACTGTGTATTTACACTGATAACTCCATTAGACCTAATGAATTACTGGTAATTTCCTGTTTTTTATTTCGTTGGGGAGCAACAAATTACACAAAGGCAGTAGATTTTTTTAAAACTTCTTCCATTCTCCAGACAGTCCTTTTTGTCTGAGATGGCATGGTTTTCCCATTAGAATTCTTTCAGTCGTTAAATATGCAAGTTCTTAGACTTCCCGGATAAAATGGAATATATAAGCGTACCCCCTGTTTTGAAATGAAAGCTGAACTGCAATCTTATAACCACACTGTAGAGAGGCAAGTCCCATTGAACTCAAGCACATTTATTCTCAAGTGAACGTACATCAGAATCAGACCACTAAACCAGGCATTTTCTTGGGGGATGGGGAAACAAGTAGATGCATTTAGTCTTGGGATATTAGTCAACCCCTGGGCAGCTGCAGCCCACATGGTGCAGTAGATTAATTGAATGAAAATGTCCTAATATGTTAAATCCTTATTATTCACTCTAGGAAAAATACAGTAACAAGATATGGGATAAAATGAGTGGCTGGCGCCCTCTTGTGTTAATTTGAACAATTTGCCTGGTTAACGCACACTGGTTCAAAACAGCTGGCTGATGATAGCGCCAGGAAATGGTGGGGGGAAGGAACAGAATTATGTAATTTTCATCTGGAAAGGCACCTACCTTGGCTATTTGTTTTTCTCTGGTGGCACTATGGTTGCTGCTGAATTCGGCAAGGGTTCAGTTTCTGTTGCCTGAAGCAGAGGACCTAAACTAAAGCGATGTAGTACCAGGGTGAGAAGACCACAAAAGTTGTGTGCCTAACTATTTATAAAGAGAACTTCGTAACCACATACTTTTTCTTGTTCCTTCTTCTCTTCTGTTCCCCCAAACCCAGCAAATGGAACTGCTTCTGGTGAATAAGCTGAAATGGAATCTGGCTGCCATGACTCCTCACGATTTTATTGAACATTTTCTAAATAAAATGCCTGTGGCTGAGGACAGCAAGCAGATCATCCGTAAACACGCCCAGACTTTTGTGGCTCTCTGTGCAACAGGTATGAGCCTTGCACTCTCCGAAGGCGTGTTATATTTCTATGTGCCCCAGCAAATGCACCCGCTTCCCTTTTCCACTGTCCAGAATTCTTATAGTGCACCCTATAAAATGGGTGGCAGTAGTTCAGCATAGCTAATGCTTGCACAGAACATTAGCTTGCTCCCAGCACCTGGATTACTTTGCTAAAGGTGAGTTGGCCTCTACAAGTGGCCTTTCTGGATGGCTTCAAGGCTGAAGTTGGTGCTTTGTGAACTGTGGTGTCAGAGCAGGGGGTTGGCAGCTCAGCTGGCAGGAATGGGTAAATGGCTGTAAAGCACCAAAGCCACTAGGCTGGCAGGACTTGAAAGCTGGTGCATTACTGTTTAGAATGTATTCAGGGTTACAAGCATACATCAGGTTTTCCCTGGAACCTCATATTTCATTCTTGTCCTTTCCCGGTTTATGGTTTTCCCACCTGAATTCTTTAACTGCATTTCTCCTTTCCAGGAGAAACAAGAAGTGGGTACTATAAAAGTTTGCTGGCTAGGAGTTGAGTCTCACCACGTGCTTGGCTGCAGCCATGTGCACTTAAAGCCTCAGGAGGAGCTAGAGACACTGACTAAGCTCTAGGATTTCACAGAGAGGCCTGGTGTTGGGTTTCAAGGGCAATGTGTGTGTCTGCGCATGTCTACATTCTCCAGCTCCTCCAAACTTTTCTTGCTGTCGTTTCATTTCCTTGATTGCTGCTGCCACACCCACTCAAACAACCAGGAGCAGGGGGTCAGAAATGCAACACTATATTCCCGATGTCCAGGTAGACCAGCTGCTGCTTTTTTTAAAAAAAGAACAAAGTGGGGTAGGCCAGAGAGGAGAAAGTGCCAAAGCAGAGAAAAAAATGAGTAATTAGGCAAGCTCTAGAACAACTAAAGAACAAGACAACCTGGGTATGTGTTCTTTCAAATGCTTGTAAGGTTGACTAGCAAGGATCTCATACAACCTACTCCAGTCTGGGTCCTTCGAGATATGCTGGCTGGGACTTGCAGTTACAACATACCTGGAGGGTCCAGTTGAATGTTTTTAAAAGTCACGCATACCAGGATTGCACAGATTGATTTGTATGTATATGACTCATCAGATCCCAGATGGGCACAGGAAAATTTAAGATTTATCTGAGACTGGAAACCTGAAAGGCATATAAATTCCAAGGGCCAAGTTGGCGCCAGAGGTAATGCTCAGCAGTGCTTGTGATGTCACACCTGAAATGAAATTGGTAGAAGGATCCAAGAAAAATAGCAAATCGTTTTTTAAAAAAAAGGTTTTAAATGGTCTCTCCACTGCAGTCTGGTTTGGAAAGCTAGCCACAGAAAATACGTAAATATTAGGCATTTTTCAAGCTTACCCTGCTTCCCAAGCTTAGCTACCAAAGGGAGAAGGTGGCTTAGGGATTTCTGGGAAATGTGTTCTTTGCCAAGCCCTTAAAATCCTTAGAACATTTTTTTAAATATATATAAAAAAAACACAGGCTTTTTATCAGCCTCATTTGCAGCCATGGTGTTAGTTTAATAGACTCTTCCTTTCAAATGCCTGCCCGGCCTTTTCTTTAGGGTATGGGGATATTTAACCTGGATTGTGCCACTGGCAGAAAGAGTCCCACAATGATGAAAACAAGAATAGTTCAAAGGTTGGAGGCTTGCAAAGGGCCAAGTACTTTGATCTGCTGTCAGCGTTGTTATGTTTCTCTTTAGAAGGCAGGTCTTGAAGCCTATCTTAAACATTGTTCTAAATGCCCATACGGAAAATGAATTGATGAATGCAAACCTTGTCCAGAAACGTTTTACACAAGCTTAAAGGAAGTGTGGAGGTCAACAAGGGAGCCCCCAACCCCAAGAAAGTCAGTGTGAATTTTGCCTAAGTCAACATTACTTAATAGGGTTTTATGTTAGCAAATTTATCCTTAGTAGTCATTAGATTAATTGGGGATGCCTAGACCAAGATGTGGGTGTTTGTCTTTTCTGTAGCACATTGAGGATTTGCCATGTCTGTGTCGCCCTCGTCTAATTTGCCAAGTTTTCATCTGGATGAGTTACAAACTCCTTTTCATTTGCAACTGATGGAAGTTTCATTCAAAGCTCATTGTAGGAATAATCTATTTGACGACTGGCGATTCTTTAGAGCGCAAATATGTAAGGAAGAGGCCCCTTGGAGGAAGTTCCAACACAACATTGCTCAAGTTTAATACTGGAAGAAAATAGTTTACATGAGGTGAAGGTAGGGGAAGAGAAAACGAGATGGAAGAGTTGCGTGAGTGTGGCTTTGTGTTGGATACAAAGAAGATTAAAAGTAAAAGTGACGATAAAAAGAAATGTATCTCCTCTTTCAGCTATGTGCCTGGTCCAGCTGGATTATTTTGCAGTGTTTTGTTTCGTATATGTTTTCACCAAAGATACATTTTTGGGGAGGAAAGTCCTGAGTTGTTTCGCTTAAGTGAATAAGGACTTGCAAATCAGGGCAGCAATAACATAAAGTAAAAGTGATGCTGAGACCGCTGCTAAGAGAAGCTCTTGCACATAAAAGCCAAATGATTAATAGGAATAAATATTGGGCGTGACCATTTTTCATTGTGTTCGTCTGGTTGCCTAGGCATAATCAGGATGATGATGATGATGATTTGCTATTATTGATTTTCCTGGATAAAAGTTGTTCCCTTTGAAACCTTGCTTGCCCTAGTTGTTCCATTCTCAGGGCTTTTAAAAATTTGAAGTCTCAAGGTATGTGACCAGTTGGAACTTGTTGAATCTTGCAGCCGGTGATTTATGTTCAGAGTTTTGATTTGGCTCAATGAAAAGATTTTCATTCATAGCCCCCGGCTCTCCAGACAGATGGAATTGCTGCTCCATTGAAAAAGGAAAAGGGGGTGACTTGCCTTGTTAGGAATTTTTTTAAAGCGCTACAGCGCCTAGATGCCTGCTTTGTCTTCCCTTCAGGGTGGCTGGCATTCTTCTCCCTCCGCCACCCCTCCTCTTTTTTTAACCACACTGAAGTTGTTTATTCTTTTTGGATGAAGTCTCAGATAGGCTGCTGGGGATGTGTGCTTCAATTGAGGGGGCCTCTTCCCCATTGTAGCTATGTCAGGTCTAATTCATCTCACCGAAGCCCCCTTGTTCTGGAGCGTTCAATAGTGCAAGATGAGGCGATGAAGGCTGACAATGATGCCACGCTCTTCACTTGCGGGCATCCAATTACAGCCAAGAGGGGCCCCCTGATTAATATGCTGAAATTAGTGGTCTCTGCCACAAATAATTCCTTGTTGGGTCGCAACAAAAAAAAGTCTGTCCATGCGGCTTGTTATGGGAACATGGGGTGGTTATGGGGACAGACACAAACTGGTCATTTAAACTTCATTATCACTTTTCCCATCTCGGAAAGAAAAAGTGTGACTAGGAATTCATGTTCTCGTTTATTGCCATTTTAAAAGGAAGGTGTTTGTTGTTGTTGTTTTAATGGATTCCCAAAGGTGCTTGTGTGATCATCTTAATGTGATCTGTGATGGATTTGTCTTTTAAATACAGAATGCTTTCTTTCAGATCGAAAGGGGAAAAAATACTAAAACAATCCTTCAAAATTGGGAAAATGATATTTGATGAATAAAATGTCTTCTGTATTTCTTTTAACAACAGCGACCATGTGTTTGATCAGAATGCTTGAAATGAGTAAAATTGGAAATTATCTAAACTTACTTCTTACAAAGTCTACACAGATGCACATATAGTACACACACTAACAGTAGTTCAGACCTCTACAAAATAAGAATCTCAGACATCAAATAGTATTTAACAAATACCACATATTGACTATGTCATTCCTAAACATTTGTATGTGAATTTGGGAGTTGTAATTCCACCACTTAGAAAGCATCAGATTGGAAACATTGTCTGAAGGAATCTTTGCACTCCTTACGGGGCTGCTGTTGGAAGTTACAACTGGTTCAGAAGGCCACATTGCAGGTAGTCGGGTGTACCCCTGTTTAACATCACTACTTTGTGAGCTGCAGTGGCCCCAAGCAGGCTTCCAGATACAATTCAAGATGTTGGTTACCACCTAAAAAGCCCTTCAAGGCACAGGACCACATTATTTGTGGAACCACCTATCTGATTATCTCTGCCTGTCCCATAAGATCTGTCTGGTGGGCGTGCATGCATTGGGTCCCTTTATGAAACAATGCAATCTGATGGGACCCAGGGGATGGACCATCTCTGGTGGGGGCCCTCACCTGTGGAACAACGTCCCCTTCCCCCTTCACACATACAAACAATTTGGATGGCCCCAACCCTGCTGAAAATCTGGCTCTTTTCCTGGATATTGAATGAACCTATTTTGTAAAGGTTCAAAGAATGTGGTTGGCCTCTGATGTATTGCATCTTTCTATTTTTTTGGGTGGGGGTCATTTTTTTGTTTACTTGAATTTAAACTGATGTTGTACAGAGTAGCAGTTGTGGGTTGGGCAGCCATATAAGATGATTAAATAAATTTAAAATGCAATGATTCGACACCTTCAGGATGGGCAATTATATGTTGCACTTCTAGTATTACTGCATTATGAATTGCCTTCTTTCTTCAGATAAAGGACCAGTATTAAGAGCAGATTGTGTTAACTTGGAATTGTTACCTTTGCTGACTGAGTGGCATAAAATTAATTCCTGCTACTGATGAAATAGATTATAAAAGAAATGGGGAGAGTCCTTCTCACTCTATAAATTCATCTATTCCAGAAGATGGAGGATTCACTAGATCGAATATATTTAGTTAATAGATAAAATTTGAGGTGGAATGTTAGAAGGGAAGTCCCATTGTAGGCTTACAATGTTGGATCTGCCCACTTCTAAAAGAAGAAAAGGGTTTTATATTACTGTGATGCAGTGTGGTGGATAAAATGTTCACATGTGTCCTTAAGTTACATATATTATCTCAAAAGTGATAGAAATTTACATATCAAATTATTTTAAACACAGATCTTCAGGTCATTTAAAGCATTCTTGGCAGCATAGAATCACAGTTGAAGCATTGAAATAATTAAGGAACTGTCCAGTGTGGTCTAGTTTTAATGATATTGGGATCAGAGTTAAAAAGATTCATTGGTTATACAGGCTGCTAAGAACATTTTCTTAAGCTGATGCTGATCGGATAGCATTTATTAATTATACTAAGAACAACTAAGCCGTGCTCCACTTCTTTTAGCTCTCAGTCATGGTCAGATGTAAGCGTGAATCAAATCCTCTTGCTTAGAAGAAGGAATTTTAGCCTAAAAATGCAAATGATTACTTTTGTTGTTGTAAGAAGGAATAACATTTTTTATGGCAGTTATAGGCCAATCAATCACAGGAGTGGTTTTATACCAAGACCTACAGCAATGCAGCTTGGAAATTGGCCCAAGTTCTTGTCAGCAGGGTGTCACATCAGAATGTAACTGATTATCTGCCAATTCGTGGGTCCCCCTCCACTTAGCTACACCACATTTACATTACATCCCTGTTGCCAGGCTAGCAGGCAGTTGCTGATAAGAGAAAAGGGTGAAGCACAGCCTTTGCAAAAGGAAGTGTTCGTTTAAATCTAGTTTCTGTACTTGGAGGTTGGGGAATGTTGGCAGTTTGGTGGGGTTAGTCTGACTTTTCCTTAGAGAGGACTGTGAGATTATGTGATGAGGATACCTGGATCAAAAAGGATATGTGCCTAGACTGCAAGGCTGCTCTTACTCCAGGATAAATTTGACCAAGTTCTTTTCTTCTGAGTAAATATATAATTGGTCTGGAAGATGCTGTTTTGCGTAGAACTCACAAATTAAAGAAAAATATGCTTGAATAGAAAAGGAAATGGGGAAACTTTTAGAAATGGACAGTGTTGAGATCTGTACATTCAGCTGTCAGAGAAGGAATTGCAGTGGAAAGAAAAAGTTATGCTCAAGTTTTAACCCAACTACTCAGGTTTGATGCAGTAAGGCCTAACCACAAATCCCCATTCTATCTTGTTGGAGACTGTCAAATATAGCTTGCAAAGTTCCACACAACCACTAGATGGCAGTAACAATTTATTTACCGCCATCTAGTGCTCTTCCAGATTTTTGCAGCCCAGATCTGTTAGTCCTAACATAGCTACCAGATGCTTTGTCATTGATGGAAGCAAATTATTTGGGTAAGTTTACCTTAATTCTAGTAGGTTGACTTACTTGGGATTATTTATAAGGAGACCAGAACTAATCCAGGGAGGTGTCCTAGGAATAACAAGATGCCTAAATGCCTATGAATATTGGAATATGGTCTTCTGTGTTTTAAGTTATCATAGGCTGCACCTTTAAATTGTCAGGTGTCTACCACTTAAGTGTTATTTTTCTTTTACTTGCATCCACAAGAATGGTTTGTACAGTAACATCTCTTTGTTTTTGTTTTCTGGCAGATGTTAAGTTTATTTCAAACCCACCTTCCATGATCGCAGCCGGTAGTGTGGTAGCAGCTGTGCAAGGTCTTCACCTTGGAAACACTAATTCTTTTCTCTCTTATCAATGCCTCACACCTTTCCTATCAAAAGTTATCAAATGTGATCCGGTAAGTGATTCTTGATCCTCAAGTAAGCCTTTTTTGCTGTAACTGAATTCTGATTTGTGTTTAAATTGATGCAGTATATCTGTGTGCCTCCACATGGTGTTCGTTCTGTTTGTGGATTCCAGTCATGCAAAGGTGGAAAGGTTGCTTTATTTATTTATTTATTTATTTACTCATTCATTCATTCGCTCATTCAGTTTGTATGTCTGCTCATCTCACCAAGTGACTCTGGGCAGCAAACTTAAAATAAATTAAAAACAAAGTTCCATCATAAATGCAAAAATTAAAATACACAGCAGTTAAGGAGGATGCTTTGCAGTAAGTCATCTTGTCTTCAGTGGTTTTCTCATGCTGATGTAATACGGCAGATGTAATACGGCAGATGTAATACCAGATTGTATGGGCTGAAAAGGCACCACTTGTTCTAAACTTAAGCACGAAGAAAGAGGAAAAGGAACTCTTAAATCAAGGCTGTATTGATTTGTTTTAAAGGAAATTGCAGTGCAGAAGAAAGCTACACTTAAAATAAGGGGAGAAAATAGTTATTGCAATGAGCAAACTTAATAGTATCTTTAATTTTATTTAACTGCTCAGAAGATTCTCTGTACTGTAAATGATTAAAAAGGAGAAGACCCCATTCCTAAGAATATTCTAATTATATGATTGGTTTACTGCTAGGGAGCCTCTACAGAAAATAATGCTGAATTACTTCTCCCTCAGCCTTCCTCTTAACAAGTGCACCAAAAATATGTCCCGTAATTTTGAGAACACTTGGATGGTCCTTTTCCTGCCGCCCCCACCCCAAAGCTTCCTGGAGATGCTCATCAGTAACTGGTGAGCAATAAACCTTTCATGAATGAATGGGCAGGAAAGGCGCCTACAAGGGAGACCTAAAGTCAATGATCCATGCTATAATGGTGTGTGAACTTAAGACAGAGTTTAGCTTTGTTTTGGAACAATGTGAGAACCCAGTAAATAGATGCTTGGAAAAGGTTCTTGTGAGGTCTCCAAATGCCAACAATGTATGAAATAAAACTAGCCCTATGGTTTTCCTCCAAATCTTGAGGCATGGCTAAAGCCATCATATATCCCTAAAATGTTGTGGATATTATCCAACTATTCGGGATAACAGTCCTCCTAAAGTGTCTTTCTTACAAGCAGTAAGAGCAATTTTAAATAAAAATACAGTGCATATTATTGAAGACCAAACTTTGAGGATCCTTCTAATGGAGCAGCTAGTAATGGCATTGTGTGAGGAGGAGGAGGAGACCAAATAAGAAACCCTTCCCTCCGTCTCTTTTCCAGGATCTCTTACTCTGAGCAGATTCTGAGGTGCCCATTGTGTGTTATGCCCCACCCTACCCCCTCTTTCCAGGGTCTCCCCTGAGAATTGTAGATAGAGGACAATCACATAGGCCCCCAAACATACTAAAAGATCATGAGGAATAATATATTGAGGCATTTTGATGGCAAACTTTGCTTCATCTCTAGATTATGGATAGATTTATTATGGTACAGTATTTCTCAAACACTTCCCCCCCCCCTTGATTTTTTGATGTGGACTGAGGGCAAAGTTTTGTCAGGATTATGTGCACTTAGTGTAAAGAACATGAATCCCAGTTTGCCTGTCCTGAAGTTCATCATCTCAGTATGCAGCAAAAGGGTGGCTTAACAAGTTTGCCTAGGGCAAGCTGTCTGTGTAATTCAAAATGCCATTTTGGGGACAAGGCTCTGCTACCTTGTAGGCTTTCAATTTGCTGCCAAATTAGGACCAAATGAGGCCCATAAAGATGTGTTTAGTTTAATGGAAATTGCATTCCACTGACAGCAAGACAACGTATTTTGGAGTAATGTTGAGGATCCTTCAGAATAGCTCTAAACAAATTTTTTTAATAGTCACCCTGTGTGTGATTCACATTGTTTTATGGAGGATCCTGACTTCCTCATAATTTTCTATCTGAAGTTTCCCCTCTATCATCTGTATTACAAAAATGAAAAAGAGCCAGGCAGGGAAAAACAGTTAGTACTTAGTACTACTATAGTATTAGTATAGATAGTAGTGCTAAGAATCAGGGTCACTGCTGGCATACAAGACATCTTTATGCAGAATTCCCCAACAATTTTTTTAATATTCAAGATTTATTAAATATAATTATGCAAGGGCTTGCCGGGTCATCAATATAGGTTCTGTCTCAGTCTCAGTGGCCAAGTGCACATGCACAATGTCAACAAGCCTGTGTTGTTAATATTGCTTTTGGGGGGGGCAACTGGCACCCCACCATACCCCATGTGGTGCCCTTGTGCAATGCACAATTTACACACCAGATTGTGGCGGCCCTGCTAAGAACGTTCTGTCTGAAAGCCTATGTGGGTTCAAGATGTTAGGGTGCCATTTAGCCAGCACTGATGGGTACTCCTTTAGTCACTTTTAAGAACATCTTTTCAGGACTGCTGAATTAAGCACAGTATTTTTGATGATATGCAGAGATGGTGCTTAATACATGGAGGTCTTTCTCTGCAACTTTACAAAAAATTCATCAGCTATTCTCAGAATTCTTATTTCAACTGTAGTCCCATTTATTTTAATGGAGTGACTATTTTTTAGAAGGATGTATCTTAAAAATGTTCAGTTTTCATCTGTCTGAATTCACCGTGGAAATCTTAGGCTGTTTGAAATGTTCAAATAAGAGAGCAGAGTTGTTCCAGCAACTACAAGCAGTTTAGTTCTTTTGTTTCCTGGAGAATTAGCAGGAATGAAGTGATTTACTATATTGGTAATACCAGGGTAGGCGACATGGTGCCTGCAAGGACCAGTGTTCATCCTGGGTTCTGAAATAGTGCCCACTAAAATCCTTTCCAAGGTGACTTTTAAAAAATGTTCTTCTAGTAAAATGTAATGAGAAGTCAGCATACTGGGAAATACTGTGAAGTCATACAAAGTTCTAGTGGGATAGTAGAGAGCATCTTGTAGGGATCTAATTCACTTTCTTCTGAGCAGTGAGTGTGACTGTTTTGGGATTGGCCATGCCTACCGTATGGCAGCCATTTTGTGAACAGCCATGTCTTCAATAGAAGCCATTTTGCCCCTAATACATGTTCTCAAAATTCCAAATGTGCCCCCAGCCTGTTATCTGACTTCAAAAGAAAATCATATTTAAGCCTTCTTGATTCCTACATTTGTGTTAGACCCTGTCACATGACATACTTCTGACCAGATGTAACAGTGCCTTTCCGTATGACCTGATCAAGGGCAAAGCTTCTTTTTTTAAAGAGGAGCTTTATCGCTGGGAACAAAGGGCCTCAGTCTATGGATTTCACTCGACCTGAGGAAGGTGTTTTCCACTTTACCTGGAAAGGTGTGCTACTCACAGAAGAGCTGTTTTAATTTTAGGCTAGAGTACTATATTATTGTTACAGAAAGATAAGACTAAATCCAAGGATGCTCTATTTCTGGTCTAAACTCTTGCATAGACACATGAGAACTGCTTTTGAACAGCCTTCCCCAACCTGGTGCACCCAGATGTGTTGGATTTCAAGCACCAGATCCCTTCAGTTGTCACTGCTTTATAAAAAGCAGCACCAGTTTTCTCAAACTCAGATTTCAGGTCTCTTTGGACCCACGTCATGATAATTTAGAAGTCATCTGACAGAACATTGTTTGAAGGAGCTGTGATCCATAGTTCCCTGTTTTGTATTCACAGCAATTCATCATCGTCATCATCATCATCATCATCATGCTTATTATTATTATTATTTTTATCAAAACAGGGAAGCTCAAAATGTTTCTGCCCCCATGGCTTGCTTGTTTCTTCCATTCCATACCATTTATTCATATTTCCATCATTGTCAACTGCAAGATTATTATTTAGCACATGCTTTGGAGCCTTACAAAGAATTTTGTACAGATTCAGTTCACACTGCAGTCATGCAGAGGTATGATTAAGGCAACTAGCATGAGGTTCTCTGATTAAAAAAAGAACTTTTGAAGGGATTGATCAGTTTGTATATTTCCAAACTGCTCAATGTTGTAAGTTGATTGAAGCATACTTCTATATTGCCTCTGAAAAATACATTAAATAAAAGAATGTGAATGTTCAGTTCTGCTGAATTAAGCTTGCTTCAATAAAGGCAAGTGCTATTTTCATTTTTTACCTGTTTCATATTTTCCCAAAAGCAGTTTCTCAATTGTAGAACCACCATATGGCTGAAAAAAAGACCTTTATCCATCAACTCTGTTCAATTTGTCTGTGAGCCACGTAGCAGCAGTTTCCCAGAGTTTCAGGCAGGACTTTCTCATGCATAGCCATCATTAGGGTTTGCAACTGAATCATACTGCACCTAAATGACATAGGCTCTTATCTGACCTTTCCCCAAAGCTGTGTTGGAAGCCATTTTAAAAAGTTTTCTTCAAATTTTAGAGAAAAAAGCAGCATAGATCAGTGATACAGACTTTGAGAGCATGCAGGAGAGTCATAAGCAAAACCTTGATGAGCTTTTCAAAAATGGATCCCTTGAAATGTAAATATCAGGTGATGATGATGACAATGATAGGATAATCTCATTTGTTGCTTGATTTTGTTGTGATTTCTATTTTTAGGTTAATATAGGATGAATTATCATGAGTGGTAGAATGTGAGTTATTATAGTTTCTCGAACTTGCTGTCTGTACATATTTTTTTTCTACCATAACATTCAGTCAATCTTTATTTTGGTCTTTGACCAGTATAATACAAAGATTATCATATAGTTGTGCCATTAAAAGCCTGTGTAAGAAATTCAGAATGTAAAACACGGTGTGTTCTTCAGTTAATTTCATTTGAACGGTTTGAAACACATTTCCGACTCTTACCTAGAATAGATGGCCAAGGATCTGAGAGTTTTGTAATTAAATATTTTCCTTTAACTATGAGAAAACAATTGCACAGTTTAATAGCATCTGATTGGAATTCCTTTATGGTTCATATTTATATTTCTAGGACTCCAATTTTGCCTTTATCTGTGGT